CGACAAGTGCAGCAGCCCATCAACATATAAACCGTGTCTATTACCAAGTTCAAAAATGGTTAGGGCATGATTTTGAACCCCAGGGATGGGGTTGGGTGCTCCAAAATGAATTCCTGGAGCCAATGACAACAATATTACCACCAGCTCCCGATGAATTACTTAATACTTTATTTTGTAATTGTAAGAATGGATGTGGTTCACGGTGCGGGTGCAGAAAATCTGGGTTGCAATGCACTTTAGCTTGTGGCCAGTGTAATGGGCAAGCTTGCCTCAATGCTATTTCATTGCAAAGTGACTGTGAGGAAGAGAGTGCATTTGACCCTGAAATTCTGGAAGGTCTGGAAACAACGATTCCGGACAACGACGATAATGACGATGAAACACAAATTCCCGAACGTCATGAAGATGACGAAGAAGAAGAAAATTAATACCCTTGTTCTTTAAATTATTAAAGATTTATAGATTTTCGCTTTACTTCCTTAAAATTTACTTTAAATAAATTAATATGACTTTAAGATATATAATAATATAATAAGTATAATATATTATCCAATATCTAAAAACTTACACATTTTAAAGATAAAGTACTTTTAATAATTTTTCTACTTAAAATCTACTTTCAATAAATTAAGATACACAATAAGTATTATTAAATGAATATATTGAAAATATGCAAAATGTTATTAAATACGTATTGTATTACTTGATAAATAATACAAATTATTCAAAATTCAAGGTAGTATTCACAGATACTCACGGTTGAACTTGCATTAGAGTGCGTATGGACGAGCGCTGCGCGCTCACCGCCCTCTATCTCAGAAACCATTGAGCGCATGAAAAAATGTTTCAAATAAAATTTGTCCCAAATTTTGTGATCTATAATTATGATAATAGATGTTAACATCATTGGAGCAATAACAACAGAGATAATCGCAAAAAACTGTTTTTCTTGACCTTTGACCTTGAATAACTTAAGACGCAGACACGAGATTTTATGAGACTTTTGAGACAACGCTTAGAACGCCAAAATGAAGGTATATACAAAAATTCAGCTTATTATCTCTCATTCCGAGGTTGATCGCTAATTTGACTGGACTATAAGTCTGACACAAATAAAAACAATCGATGTTCTTATGACGTCCCATAGAAAAATATCTTCTGATATTGTCCTGCTTATCACAAGTGACATCATCAAATATCATAACTGAATTCGATTTTGCATCTTTGGGGTTAATGACTTGTTCGTTATCTTCATACTGGTAATATCCAATTCCTTTCACTCTTTCTAACACTTCTTGTAGTAATTTATATTTGGGTTGATAGAGGGACTTACAGTAGATATACACATTTGTAAATTTTACTCCGTTCGGATCAAATAATAATGATAGTAGTATATTTGTTTTTCCACTTCCAGAAGGTCCGCAAATGATAGATCGTATCGATTGAGGAAACAAAACACCATGTTTTTGTCGATGTATATGATGACTTAGGCTCTTATATTCTTCATTGTCATCATCATGATTTCTAATCTCTAAACACGTACCTTGTCTTATGATGCGCATTGCACTAATGAGTATTAATTTTGAAATTTAAAATATATATATATGCTTCCTCAGTAGCAATTTTAATTCAGTTTTATGTTGTTTGTTGAAGGAAGAGGTTTACTCTGCTTCGCAACTAACAAGCAATCGTTCAAACTATATATAGTCAAACAATCGCTAGTGATTTGGTGCTAGACAACAAGTGATTGAAAAAGTAGCTAACGAATTATAGTGACAAAAAAGAAGCAAAAAAAAAAACTATCGACATGAGTCCTACTTCACTATCAAGAAGAAAAAAATCTAAACTAACTTTTCATCGAGCTGTTTTGAGCCCATCAATACAAAAAAACAGTCGTGAGGGTATCAACACTATACAAAACGCACTAAAAACCGCTCGATTAGCAATAAAAAAAGCAGGAGGTCGGAATCGAATTAAAATACCCCGTGTCCTTCCAATTAAACAGGGAGGATTTTTACCACTTCTACCGTTGATATTTGGAGGATTATCAGCCCTTGGTGCCTTGTCTGGAGGTGCAGCTGGTATAGCCAAAGCGGTAAACGATGCAAAACAAGCGAAACAAAAATTGGATGAAGAACAACGTCATAACAAAACAATGGAAGCTATAGCAATAGGAAAACAAGGAAGCGGATTATTTTTACGAAAACGTAAAGACGGTTACGGTTTATTTTTGGAAAACGTCTCAAAAAACTTTTACTAGAACTACCCAAAAGACCTTTATCGGATGAGGATGTAAGAAAATATGCTTCGTTATCAAAAATTTCTAATTTTAGAGGTGTATTTATGAGAAATTCATTACCACCAGCCGGGCCTAGAAACTATGAAAAAGCCATAGTTAATTTGGATTTGTCGCTTGGTCCAGGCACTCACTGGGTAGCTTATAAAAAATTTGGAAAAAATGTCTATTATTTTGACAGTTACGGTAATTTGAAACCACCACCAGAACTAATAGAATATTTTAAAAATTGTAAAATATACTTTAATCATAAAAGATTTCAAAAATTAAAATATAATTGTGGACATTTGTGTTTACAATTTTTGTCTAGTAAAATAAAATTGGTATAAAGTAACCTGACCGACATTTTTCTACCTCAGTCTTCATCATGCATACGACGTTTTCACTTGTCGGTAATACAAGTAGACTAAGTGCTACGTATAATCCTGTTATTGAACTTGACCCACACTACGAATACTCATTGGCTCTTATAGGATTTCTAACCACGAATAATATTCCAAATATCGAGGAAGGAACAAACAAGTTTCATTATTTTAAAGAAGGTGATAGTAAGGAAAGAGAGATCATTTTCCCTAAGGGAGCTTACGAGATAGATGCAATAGAACAGTATATTCAGAATTTTCTCTGCCCAGAATGTACCAGTGACAAAGAACGATCAAAAATTTTTTCTCTGAAACCTAACCTTAATACTTTAAAGTGTGAATTGAAGAGTAAATATGGAGTTAATTTCAGCCACAATGACAGTATAGGCAAAAGACTTGGATACTCAAGTAGAAAGCTACCTGCAAATACTTTACACGAAAGCGATTTACCTGTAAATATTATAAAAGTGAGCACGATTCGAGTGGAATGTAATATAGTTACAGGATCCTATTATCAAAGTAAAAGATCACATACCATCTACGAAACCGCTATAACTGTCAATCCAGGAGAGCAAATTTTCATTGAGCCAACAAATCAAATATATTTACCGCTCACTAATAAATCTTTCATTAGCAATATAACTCTCGACATAGTCGATCAAGACAATAATTTTATTGATTTTAACGGTCAAGAAATTGTGGTGAGACTAGCGTTAAAATCTCAAAAGAAGTAATTATGGGATTAGTATACAACATTCTTAAAAGAAGAGGATTTTCACATTATACTTCAGTATCGCAGCAGTCACCACTCCAAGCACTTCCAGAAGAAGAAGAAGCATCATTAGTGTCTTCACAACATCAATTGTCGTCTCAAAGTGTAAATATTCTCAAGTCTTTAGGATATCATGTCAGAAAAACTTCAAATATTCGACCGACCTCAAGTAGATCACAGTATAATTAAAGAAGAAGAACATACGTACAACCCTGAAGTGCGTACATTTAATAATAATGATGATATTGACATCATTATAAATCAAGAAGATCTTATGATACCATTATCCGAGTGTTACCTTGACATTGACGGAGAATTTAACTCTGATGATCTTTTGCCTAATAATATACCAGCTTTAAATGGAGATATTTATTTAACAAATAACGCTGGAGCGTTTTTATTTGAAAGCATAAGCTATGAACTCAACAATAAAGAAGTTGATGTAGTACGAGATGTGGGCTTATTATCAACAGTTAAAACATTCTTGTGTTACGGTGAAGATGAATCAAAAGAATTGGGAGGAGCAGGATGGAATATGGATGGTAATGGCATTAAACCATATAACGTTAGAGATAAAACATTTTCATTGAGAATACCTTTATCGATTCTGCTAAATTTACCTTACGATTATCGTCGTATAATTACTGGAAAACATAAACTAAGATTAGTGCGTAGTAGATCTGATGATAATTGCTATATGAGCACAGGTACTAGGAGAGCAACAATGAATATAAAAAATATTACCTTAATAGCAAAACATGTCTTTCCGAACGATGATATTAAACTCCAGATGTTAAATAAAATCAACACAAGTAAATCTATATTGGTACCATTTAGAAAGTGGGATATTCATGAATTGCCCATTCTGCCAAGATCTAAAAACGAAGTGTGGAAAGTGAAAACTCTGCAAAGTGTACACACACCTCTTTATTGTATAGTATTTTTTCAAACTAATAGAAAGAATAACCCCCTAGCCGATGCTACCAAATTCGACAATATCGATATGAGAAGCATACGTCTACACTTAAATTCGAGTATATATCCGTACGAATCTTGGAAATTAGATTTTAGAAAAACTCGTTACAGAGAAGCATATCAAGCATATTGCGATTTTTATAAACAATTCAACGATCAAGATAGAGCAAAACCGATATTGAAATATGACGATTTTAAAACTCGTTCAATATTCGTTTTAGACTGCTCAAAGCACCCCGAACCTATTCGTTATTCAACTGTAGATGTATCACTTCAATTTGAGTCGGACTATGAGTTTCCTCAAGATACAAAAGCCTACGTAATTATCATACACGATGCTATCGTAGAGTACACACCAATGCTAAAAACCACAAGAGATCTTATTTAACATTGAACGTGTGGAATCGTTCACAACCGAAAAAGGATTTCCTATTGATAACCTCTAGAGCAAACTGCATCATCATTCACAATAAAATTTTAAAGTATCGAGCTGCTAAGCGGTTTAATTCGTCCATTATCACTCTAGAACACCGTTTTTAACGTTCTTCATTAATGCTTATCGAAAAAACGGAAACATGTGGTTTTATACTGGAAACAGATTTCTTGTTGATTTCCTCGATAGACAACGCATGCGAACAAATTTAGTAGTAGTAGTTGTTGTTGTCATGATGTCTGTCTGGTGTGTTGTTTACTCTTCGCAGTTTTGTTGTGAGGAAGCGAAAAGATTCTCCGTAAATCGATTAGAGAATCAAGTTCATCATTCGCTTCATGATTTTCTACAACGCTACCCACATGAAGACTCTACTCTACTCAAAAATTATCTTTATCAAGGAATCGTGAAAGTGTATGAAGATCTTTCGATATTGTGCAATAAATATTTAAATAGACAGTTCTCATTTCGTTCGTTCTGTGTGGAGCTTAAAGAATTGAAACGAGTCTTGGATAGTGTAAAAGAATATATTCCAACAAAATGCTATATTACCTGGTCATTTCGTACAAAATGTGAAAAGCATATGTAGAAGAAAAAATCTTAGCCGGTCTCCGAGTTAACGAAGAGACGAATTGTAAGTTTACATTTTTTATAAAATCAATCTAAACCGATCATTTTAGTTTGAACATTTTTTATTATCTTCGCCCGGAAATGTGAGGTTTCATAACGGACATACATTTGTAAGCGAATCGCAAGACCCTTTTATTTTAAAGGAAAAAAGGTAATTATTAATACAAACTAAAATCTTTACAAATACTTATTCATTCTAGTTTTAACCCTCCGAAAATACATTTAATGGTGAAATGGTCCTTCGCTTATCACCAATTGAGATGTGATGCTATTTGGCAACAGTACGCTAAAGATGGTGAACGATTTCGAAGACGGATACGACAAGTAGAATCCATCTATTTAGAACCTAAATTACAAGTTTCGCAACGAAAGAAAATACATGAAGATCGATTTACGACTCTACAAGAAGAAGAAGACTCCAAAAGTATGGAAGTTGATTATGAATACTATTAAAAATTATATTAATTCTGCTTATTAGTTTTTTTGTTTCTGTTATAGTTTTCGTTTTCGCTTTCATTTTATATTATTTTTTATTTTTTAAAATGAATTATGTAAAATGTGTTCATTAGTTAATTAGACATTAGTTTTGTACTCTATGGTTTATTTTTGCTTTTATATTTTATGTTAATTAGATTTAAGATTTGTTTATAATGGATAGTTTAATTTTTTTCAAATGTATTGTAAGTTTATAAATATATCATTGTTTAAAATTTTTTGTTTTTGTTACTACTATTTTTCGATTATCATTTTGAATGAAAAGTGAGGTTAGATTTAGAGGGGCTTCATCCAGGAGCGTGCACCTCATCTTAAGACGTAAGGGAATTTTATTTTAAATTACCCGCCAATTTTTAAACACATGGCCCGATCAGAGGCCTGCGCCCTATCTTGAGACGTAGGGGCCCTCATCTTAAGGCGTAGGGGGCCCCCATCTTAAGACACTGGTGTTTGGAGCACAGAACTCCGACCCCCCGACGTAGGGAAATTTTATTTTATGTTACTACTATTTAACGATAATAATTTTAAATAAAAAGTGAGGTTAGATTTAAAGGTCTACATCTTAAGACAGTAGGGTTAAGAGCCCAGAGAGTTTTTGAGTTTAAATTACCCGCCAAATTTAAAAACGTTAGAAGCCGGCGCCCCCAATTTAAGTCGTATAAGATCGAGGTCAGGCCCCCAGACACCAAAGTTATACGCAAGGGGCCCAGCCCCAGTATTAAGGCTTAGGGGGATTTTATTTTTAATTACCAGTGTCCGGGGGCCCCCGAACAAGCAAGTTAGACAACCAACAATACGACAGGCCAGCGTTATCATCAGTTCGAGATTATTCCTATAATAATTTCGTACAAAAAGTGAGGTTAGATTTTAAGAGATTAGGGTTAGGAGCCCCAATTTTCAAACGTCAGGAGCCCGCGCCCCCAAATTTAAAACGTCAGGAGCCCGCGTCCCCAGATTTAACTCGCATAAGACCGCAGTCAGAACCCCACACACCAAAGCAAGGGGGCCCGAGCCAGGGATTTTCATTTCAGGAGGCGCCGCCGCCGCCGCCGCCGCCGCCCGAACATTAGACAACCAACAATACGACAGGCCAGGCCAGCGTTATCATCAGTTCGAGATTATTCCTACTGTTCAGCGTCGGGCGTGATGGACGTGTGATACAAGCGACTCTACAGCACGGCGGGACCGATGGGTTCGAATCCATCGTGAGGCAACTGTGCTTTTTTTCACACACAAAAATTCCCGCGCGAAAAGAGACATCTACCGGAACATTCACCAAAGACGCAAACCATAGCAAAGACGCAAACCATAGCAAAGACGCAAACCATAGCAGCGCCGCAGCAAAGACACAAACCGATCGCAGCGCCACCACACGGGAACGACCACTGCGCATCGCTTCTGCGCACCGCGTCACGCATATTTTGACCCTACTGACAGGTAAAAAGCAAAACAGAGCATTTCATGAAAATAATTATAATAAAACTAAATGGTTAAAGGCTTCGGTTTTTTAAGAAACAAATTATACTGTTGGGATTGTGTATTATTCACAAGTGATAAATTTTCCGTTTGGGATAAAACAGGCTATAATAATTTACAAAATTTGTCATGAGCAATAGAAAGACATGAAAAATCACAGGAACACATATTTTCTTCTACTACTTTAGATTCCGCTCATAAGAGGGATATTGAGAACTATAACGAGAAAGTTGGTAAAAATAGGGCAATTTTGAATTTTTGAAAAAAAATCGATGCAATAGTTCATCTATCAACGCAGGAGTGTTCTTTTCGTGAACATGACAAAAAAAATTATTCAGATAATGAAAGATATAAAAAGTAGTGCTTGTCAAATTTGAGCCTCCTCTGAAGAAAACTTCACAAGCCGCCACTGCTGTAACACTATATTGTCCTAGATCTCGGACGAACATTGGCAGAAGAGCTCCAGAATATTTATTTTGCCATTACTTAAATATGATTGAAAGTTCTAGTGATTCGTGGGATATTTACTGCAGCTCTTTGTCGGAGTTGCGTTCACATGTGCGTCGTCGATTTCAAGTGGGTATGTAGATAGTGAAATATGCTCTATAATTTCTCTATTGTTTTATTTTTTTTTTTTCTTTTAGAAGGTAAATGGTGGGATATATATTTTGTTTTTTCTCTATTGTACTATCCCTTGATCCATTGATAGTTTATTTATTTAATGTAATTTACTTTACTTTACTTTTCTTTTTATTTGGTATGCTAAACGTGCTTTTTATTTTTATTTTTTGGTATATATTACTATTTTTGTCTTCTTTTATTTTTATTTTGTTTTATTGGAAATTGTCCAGTAAGTGGAATATTTGTTCTGTTGGACAATAAATTATATTATTACTGTTTTGGAAATTTAATTGTTTCGCCAGTTTTGTCATTTTGTCCAACTAGTATTGCACAAATGAATTTTAAGTGAATTTCTTAGAAGAATTAATGCAGATGCAGATGGATAGCGATAACGAAGACGATGTTTTACAACTCACACCTCCATCAGTAGTTGAAGCCAACCATGAGACCATGACTGAACGTCGGCTGTTTTTAAACTATCAGAATTCCAAATGCACTAAACAACCCGTGGGAATTAACAAAATTAGTGGTATACCCAAACTAATTGCTGCTTATTTGGGTTTAGAAGAGCCTGCAGCTTTCACAGGCCACTGTCTGAGGCGATCATCGTCTACAATTTTTATGGATGCAGGTGGCAGTATGGAAGATCTTAAGCGTCACGGAGGATGGATTTCTACTTCTATTGTGGAAGGTTAGATACAAGAGTCCATTGGACACAAAATGAAAGTGGCTGACAAAATCATTACAGCCATAAGAAATTCGTCTGAAAATCGCCCACAAGATGATTCCGATAGTCAAATGTTGCCGTCCACCTCAATTTTTACAACATCCTCAACAACCGTGGCAGGTTTACCGGATGATTTTGAAAAGTCCAACAAGAAATTAATAAATTTCAATAACTGCTCTTTCAGTAATGTAACCTACAATTTACTTAACGAAAGGCAATAAATTTGTATTTGATTATTGTTTGGCAATATTAAAATTTCAATAAAACTGAATTGTCTTGATGAACTTTGGAAACATAACCCTACTAACTCTTATCATGCACCGTGCATGATAAATTTCATATCCGCATCGGTCTCTGCAAGCTGCACTTTCAAGACAAGTCGTCTAAAATACACTATTTCGGATCACCGGCAAAATTTTTTGCTATAATACTTCGAAAAGTATTTAAAAATAAATTATTACAAAAATACTAATTAAATGGCCTATTATTATTATTTTTTATTTATTTGTCACTATTTAGTGTAAGACAATAAATTTTTAAAAATTTTATTTATCTATGTATTTTTTATTAAAAAAATTAAGCTCGATAAACCTGTTTTTATAATTTGTAAATAAATTTAGTTGTGTTATTACACTTCTTTTCAATTTTTGGAGCATATGCAACTGCATATCTCTGCATATATTAATAAAGTTACTGCATATTTGCATAAATTTCATGCATATTACATGATCATATTTCTCAAAATTTTGCTGCATACTTTTCGCTCTCTAGTCATGTATTATTTTTAATATAACGGCAATATGAATGTACCCTCCGGATTTGAAAAAAAGGACGGTCACATCGTCAAAATTATTTCATTTATCAAAAAACTTAGTGGACCAGTTTTCTATGATTGCGATCGTACTTATTAAAGATTTTGTTTTTTGCTTTCAGTATCTTAATAATATTTTCAGATGTGCAGAATAATGATTAAATAATTAAGGTACGGAAGAAACGTTAAAAACAAAATTACTCTCAATCCGGTCCTTCGCGTCTCGGCCGTCCCTGGCACGTGGCATGGTTTACATTTACTAAGTTTTATGAAAGGTCGGCTGTAAAGTAGGTACTTTTACTTGTTCCTCACTTGTAAACATCGATTTACCAAGTCACTGTATTCACCATGAAAATATCACTTAACTGGCTATAGCCTGTAAAAAATGTTACTGACTGCCAGTAAAATATTTACAGCCGGTCGTGTTCATACCGCCATGTATTTTAAACATTTTAAACTATTATAAGTTGAAATGACAGCCAAAATTGATTCAGGTAAATTTTCACTTACAATTGCTGCTTCCTCAGTAATATAGCTTGCGCCACACTCATTTCCATACAGCGAAAACGATAAACAGAAAAATCTAAATGACAGGACTAGACAACACAGTAAATGCTATGACAAGTGCCATGCTGCCGTGCGTTTCCAAAGTAATACGTCTAAAGCTCATACGATGTTTCTTCAAATATTGGACCTTCTAGAGGTTTTAATAATTTATAATAGTTATTTACAAGTGAGAAACAAATAAAATATTGAACAATACACGCAAGGTAACGGGTTTTTACTGGCTCGCCTGCGGCTCGCCAGTCATATCCTTCTGTTCGCCAGTAAAAACCCTTTTACCATGCTAGTAATGTTAAATACTACAAACTCAAACGTCTAAGCCATAAACGCCTTAAATGTTTGAGTCCAGTCTACCAGTGGCGGCTCGTGACTGTCTGATGTGGTGAGGCGATCATAGAAGTTTGACAATAATAATATTAATAATCAAATTAATTAAATTAATGTGATTAATGCATATTACTTGGTCTTACTAGTTAGTACTGATAGAAATCTTGCCCGAATACCGGTCATTTCCGGGTCAGTGGTAGGTCCTAATAATAATTAATAATAACGCCCATAACACATTTAATCAACAATGTTTTTACAAGTCAAAATTTTGTTTAAACTAGCACTTTCTTGGAGGGATTCGGGAATAGTTGTTGTGTTCCTTTCTAAAGGTTTTATAGGCCCATGGAATTTTTAATGTGTACTTTGGAACTTTCATATAACTTTGCACTTCGGTTGAAATTATTTAAATCGTTATATCCCGGGACGTCGTACAAATATTAAATATTACGGCAGAGCCATTTATACATATGTTTCGTACCAAGTTGATTTAAAAGACTTGGAGTACTGACGATTCTGTCGCTTATCAATGGAAATTAAATGAATTAACGGTTTTGACTGCTCGATATTTAGGAAAATTTGCCGACGTTCTAGCTCGGTTTGCCGTGAAAACGGCGTTTCAAAAAGGAACATGACGATATGGTACTCGGGATTCATTTTTCACTCACCTGTACCTATGAAAGAGACAAAAACACGAAACATCAACACGTGGGCTTTTACTCACGTTCATGCTAATTACCCACGCACCCCGCAGCCCTTCCGTCTGTAAAATAAAAGGGAAAATGGTAGCACCGAAGATATCGCCTCAGTTCCGAGCGAACGCATGTATAGGAGTATAGGAGCTGAGCCATGGAAATCCGTGTCTGTGATTGGGCTTCGTTGGTTCAAGTGAACCGACGTTCTGGCCGCTTCAGTTAAAAAACTAGGGGCATAAATCGTACGGTATTCAACCGAAAATGTGAGCAGAAAGCGTAAAAAATAAAAAATCATCTACAGATTTACCATTTCAACATATTTTTGTAACTAAAAATGCATTGAAAGCTCTTTTTTAATTACAAATTAAGTCAATCTGTTCTTAAGATATATGCCTGTGAGGCGCCGCCTCACTTGCCTCATCTGACGAGCCGCTACTGGTAGGTACAGTTGAAAACTTGAAACAATTTTTTCATCTGCAGCGTTTACTTAACTGACGTTGTATATGAATTGTGTAACACTTATTAAAAAATGTATTGATGCAATCTGTTAAGAAAGGTTCGTTCTGGACACCTCGTTTTTTAATTTTGTTCGCACTACAAAGTGTACGTTGCAACAGCAATGTAAATGTCGTCATTTTTGCATGTTTTTACTTTTTTTTACACAGAAAACAGAACTGAAAATCAAATAAACATACCTATGTCTAATAAGGATTGTTAACGAAAAAAACTATCGTCCTAAGTCAATTTCTCTCGTTTTTACAGGACATTTCCAATGGGATGAAAACTGTCCCAAACCAGGCCGAGTGATACCGCCTTAAAGAAAAGCGAACCATTTTCAATAACTTGTCAGATTTTGACAAAAATGTCAGGGGTGTACAAAATTGAACTCGGCGACGCAGGCAATTGTTTGGCACCGACAGCACTATTAAATTTAAAAAAACAAATTAATTAATTTTTGCGTTTTTATTAAGGTAATTCTTTTAAACAAAACAGTGATTTAATTAATTTTTCGCGCACTGACGTTATTTTAGTTGCTTAAAGTTATAACGCAATTTTGAATAATTTTTAACAACAGGAAGGTGTGTTAAAATTCATTTTTTGAACAATAAAATAGTTTTTTTGTTATCAGCCTAATATTTACCTATTATATTACACTTGTTTTAAATTTCATAAAAATCCCTTCAAGAATACCTGACTTATTGCGCACGAAAGTGTTACGTGGGACACCCGGTATAATAACATCCAAGATAGTGGTGAAAATGTATTTTGGGTTGAGTTTCAAATTTATTCAGGCTCTTTAGTACTTGTGGACCAGCCGTATGGCATGCCATTTTTTAGAATTTGATACGATCCATATAGGATTACGAAAAGTACTGAACAACACACAGCCGAAACACAAATAACGGACTTCGCCTCGGTTTACAAACTTCAACCGCGTCCGTTATTCGTTCGTTTTCGGCCTTGTATCGGTATAATTAATTACATAGTCGAACAATTTTAGAAACATTTCTTGTTACAAGCATTCTGAAAATGTATTCTGAAAGCTGCTGAATAACTATCTAATAAGACATTATGCCTACGTCGTCAAAAAAAAAATTTTTTTGAGATTGTTCATAGATAGTTCCAGTTAAAGGTGTACTATTGCATAATGGGAATAAATATCTAGTACTGCCGACTGCATACACTTGTTAAACTGTATTAACGACAAAAAGTTTGAGTGCAATTTGATAGGCGATTAAAAAATTGTAGCTTTAGTAACTGGCTTCCAATCTGGATATACCAAGGATATGTGCTTCTTATGCAAGTGAAATACAAGAGAGAAAGCATTTCAACATATGAAAACAATATTTCCTAAGCTTTCTGCTGCTAACATAAACCAAGGTAAAAACTAAAATATTACAGTGAATTTCAGTTTTCATATTATGTACGTCTTCTATATTTAGGAATTTTCATTGGGTTGAAATTCGAATGAAGGATCAAATGTTCTAAGCCTATTTGAATGATACGGAAAAATTTACTTGGGAATCAATTAGCTTAGTGATCAGTGAATTTTTAGGAAACAAACGTTCCGCAAATTATGTCTTATTTAAATTTCTTTGCGAGAAATCAAGAAAGTCGAAGAAAGATTTAAGAGAAAGACCCAAGTATCCATTCTTTCCGAATACATGAGGCTTTTATAAAGAGTTAGATCTAGACAGGTTAAAATTCGTAGACGTAATTAAATATCTGTCGACAGAAATCTGTGGAACATTTTTTCAGTGCTTCTTGCGCGTTTTTCTATGTAAAATTAGAATTCACATCATTTTTTCTAATTGTTCACCAGACGACAATAAAAATTTGAATATTTTTTCTTTTTGACGACATGGGTATATTATCTCTTTTAAGAGTTGTTCAGCACAAAATTACCTTTCCGACCATGTTTAGAAAATATGTGTAACAAAAACACTGTTCTACTGTGTTATTATCGTGAAAATTAATTCTTCGACGCGAGGTTCAGCGTGTACATACGAGGACTGTTTGATAAGTACCCGTTTTAAGAAAGAGAAAGCATTTTTTTTTAATTCTGTATATTTATTTCTCAACATAGTCTCCTTTCAACTCTATACACCTCGACCAGCGATATTCTAACTTTTTTAACCCATTCAAAAAAAATGATTTATCAAACTCTGCAAAATAAGCCTCTGTTTCATTGATTACTTCGCCGTTTGAAGTAAAGCGCCTTCCTTCAAGCCATTTTTTTAGATTTGGAGATAGATAAAAGTCACAGGGTGCTAAATCTGGCGAATAGGGAAAATGCAGCAGTAATTCATAGCGTAATTCAACCAGTTTTGCCATGGCAATTGCAGACGTGTGAGCCGGTGCGTTATCATGGTGAAACACGACTTTTTTTTCGACAAATGGGGCCGTTTTATCTTTAATTCAGCATCTAATCGGCTCAATAGGCTAGCATAATACTGCCCCGTGATTGTTTTGCCATTTTACAAATAGTCTATGAAAATGATGCCATGCGAATCCCAAAAAACAGTATCCATAACTTTTCCGGCCGAAGAAACCGTTTTCGCTTTCTTTGGAGCACGTTCGCCGGGTAGAGTCCCTTGTTTTGACTGTTCTTTGGTCTCTGGAGTTAGTGGTGTATCCACGTTTCATCAACACTCACGTAACGCCTTCGAAACTCCTTCGAATTGTGCTTAAACATGTTGAAGCAATGTTCCGAAGTTGTAACGCAATTTTGTTTTTGCTCCACTGTGAGCAAACGCGGCACCCATCGTGCCGATAGCTTTCTCATGCCCAGTTTTTCTCGAAGAATGTTGTGCACACGTTCGGTTGAGATGTTTGCAATCACAGCAATCTCTCTGATCTTCACCCGATGGTCTGCTAAGACAATATCGTGGATTTTGTTGACCATTTCCTCAGTAGTTACTTTAATCGGACGACCTGGGCGCTCTTCATCCAAAACCGATGTTCTGCCACTTTTGAATTCGTTGAACCAATATCTGATGGTAGTCATCGAAGGTGCTTGGTCCTTATAAACTACCTGCAACTTGATTTTGATTTCTTCACACGTTTTCCCATCCAAAAAAAGAAATCGAATCACAGATCTATACTGCTCTTTTTCCATTTTTGCAAAAAACACAAAATTGTCAAGTTTCAATAAGTGCTGTAACAAAACTACTTGACCAATTTGACTGAAATTTTGACAAGCCTCGTTTGAAAGATGGCATTAGACCATGGCATACAAATTTTGGGTCAGTGGTACCCACAGTCCTCAAACACGAGTAGTTATCATACAGTCCTCGTATCATACACTTCCTGTTTACCGTCTTACCCGCAAAAATCCGCTCTCTGATAAAAAACCCAGTGTAATAAGAAATTCAAAAACTATCCATGTTGTTAATTTACTGCCTACCATCAACTATTGGGCTTATTTTATATGCATGAAAAATATACTGCTGAACATTTACTAGACACCGTGTACCAGACATTAGTCAAATGACCCAGAACGATAACCAATATAAACTGGAAACAAAAATGGCCAAGGAAGTCACTATTGTAAACTCTTCCTCTTTTTTTGTCCATTGTTATCCACTTACCTTTGCTTTACTTAGAGTATAAAAAAACAAATAATTAGGATAATTTACATTGCACAAATTAATTTACTGCTCTAATATGAATATTTGAAATTTCTACAATTTTTTTTTTTTGGTGAGGGTAGTATCTGATGGGTTGCTACTATTTGAAGACACAGGCACTACCTTAAAATCCATGTATTTCTCTGGCTCATAACCTTTTGCTTTTATAGATTGTTCAATTAATTCATTTGAATAACCAAACCCTGACACCTTGCAAAAAACGAATATTAGTAATCTTTCAACACATGCCACCTGTTTATACCTGTCGTATTTGTTTTTTCAATTCCGCTTCATCAGAAGGATGTGAATCTATTATTCCTCCTGGACGGATTATTCGGTCCCTTATACCTCGACCTCGTCCACTTACAATATAACATGCACTTTCATCAATGTCACTATTTAACGTCCGCTGTTTGTTTTCTGCCATTTGTTTCTTGTACTGTATTATTGTTTCAGGAACCCTGCATCCAGATCTAGGCGAAGGTACATCAAATTCTGCCAACTGGAGAAGGTCCATTAAAACATCTTCTTCTGTTATCCATTCACTAGGTACCCACATTTTCCTAAAGAAATAACACATTTAGGTATGTAATAAATTTTTACCATATTCAAAGAAAGTTAAATATAATAAAACATCATTTACTGTAATGTAAAAAAAAACACTACATGCAAATAAACAGCATATAGAACATCTTACCACCAAACAGTGTACGTGTGATTATTTAATTTTAATTTGTAACTATTCATAACATAAAGTAACGTTTTTCTGCGTTCCCAAAACAACAGGATTTGTTTTTTGGCATGACACACATTTTTATTGTTTTATTACGTGTATTTGTACTGAAATTTGAAATGCACAACATAAAAGTCTTCCATATGGTATTAGAAAAATTTTGTAGATCAAAAATTATTCAAAATATTGAAAGTTTGCAAGAAAAATAATGAGCATGATAACGAATCATGAATGCATAAAAACGAAAAAAAATAGGATGTCAGTAATGTCACAATCGCATTACAGATTCCTATAAAAACAGTCAGGGTTGCCAACCTCTGCAATTAATATTTTAGACAAAGATATTTTTTAATAGATCGACTTTTGACGTTTGTAATGAAAACAGTTTGGTCAATTTTAGGGTCCAGATAAAATCTCACCTATGGCGCCAACGTAACGGTGCACGGGGACTTTCAGTCTTTTAATATCTCCCACTACACAAACCACCGTGACCAAATAATACCATAGAAAATAAATAATACGTTCAACGTTCAATGGTTTAATTGTAGGGATGGGGAATTCTTAAGGCCTCGCCACATAGGCTGTGCTATGCTATGTTAATGAAAAACATAGAAGTAGACACAATACATTTAAATGAGAGTGTTCACATAGCCATTATGTTATGCTTTATGTACTTTTTACACAGAACTAGCATAGACATTACACAGCTCGAAATAATCCGACATAGCATGAAAGTAGAATGGAATCCTACTTCTGTGTAATGTTTGGTTTTTGGCTCATGCGCGTCTAGAGAAAATTCAAACTTCTAACCTAAGCCTTCTCAATTTTCTTCTTTTATAAGTTGTATTTCTATATTGCACTGCATATTGCACATAATAATAATAAAGTTTAAGTAATTCGATCAGGTTCTCTTCGTGAATTTTTTTATTTAAGATTGTCAGCTACACCAACCAGTTTCAAAATGAACGACCACTTTTACTCACCACTGCTTTTACTAATAACTATTTATAAACACACATCTACTATGCTATGCTACCAATTGCTACTATTCTATGGCATGGCTGTTGTGAACACCATCTGTGACTGTATGTCATGTTCATGCTATGTGAATGTATTTTTTACATAGCATAGACATAACGTTTTAATATGAGCATAGCATAGCACAGCCTATGTGGCGAGGCCTTTAGCGTTACGTTACGATTTTGATCTTCGGATTTTGCCTTCGGAATCTGAAATTGATAAATACTTTTTTTTTATTTAATTTAATATAAAGATTTAATAATTTTTATTTATAACCAACGTAGCCTGTAAGAGAAAATTGACGTTATATGTTGTTTCTTGTTGCTGTTATCTAATTTCTTATTAGTTTACTATTTTATTGGAAAAAACTAAATTAAAAAATACAGGTATTAAATCTTGAATATATAAATTATTGTATGACTGCATCCAAATACCGCAGTCTACTGTGACCGCAGTGCCTTTATTAAATAAAATTCTTTATTTCAAATAATTCTCTATTTGTTACCTTTCTGCTTATATTATTATTGTTTGTATTGATGAGGCTGATACGTGTTTAAACTCCATATTAATTTTAATAATAATGAAAAAACTTTCAGAGTTTAAATAATATATTTGTAGTCACTGCTACACGTGTTTCGGTACACAGTACCGTCTTCAGGCAGAAGAGAAACTGTCTCAGACAGTGACCATGGTAGAAGGAGACATGGTATAGGCATACGCATCGGGTGTGACGTCAAGTGGGGTGAAATTAGCGCGAAATTTAAAATACATTCTTTAAATTGCAAAAATTTATTTGTGATTATTCGTCGTATGTGTGATGTGATCACAGAATTTAGGTTTGTGGAGAGAACTGAGCATAAATATGTCAAAAACCTCTTTTTCAAAACTCAAGAGATAAGAGCAAATTGCTATTTGCATTTGCTGATGTCCCACATTTATCGAAATTGATACGAAACCACATTTTTGGATCGTTCAACTTTCAATAATTAAATTTTTATCATTATTATTTTCATTAACTTTCGTTATCCGACAACTAATTGACGTATTGGAGAGAGCAATGATAACTCAAGCTGAAATTCCCTAGACTTCCCTAGCAAAGCTCACAAGAATTACAAGGTCGTTGATGCCACCTAACGTCACAAATGGATGCGCAGACGATTTTTAAATTGGTACATCGGATGTCTATACCATGTCTCCTTCTACCATGGCAGTGACTACAAATATATTATTTAAAATCTGAAAGTTTTTTCATAAACTAAGACCCACCACTGACCCGGAAATGACCGGCATTCAGGCAAGACTTCTATCATTACGGGTACTAAGACCAAGTAATGATATGCATTGATTAGTTTAACAGAACAACTTTCGAGATTCTAGAATTACAGCATACAAATTAGTCTGCTATTATTCTCTAATCTCACCCCATCCCCAAAAGTCCAGCGTAACTACCGACCATTTATCCGCGCATCACATGAAAAGTGACCTACACTACTCTGACCTACTGGTGCTAATCTAATCTGACTGACATGATCAGACTGTTCAAGAAACTTACGAACAATATGACATGTTCCTAACAAAACAGCTTTTTGAATTTTGACAATTATTGAATCATTCAAATGCAAAGACTTTAAATTCTCAACTAAGCTATTTGGAACTACACCTACATTAGAGATAACTAGGGGTAGAATTGAAATTTTTTTAAGATTCAACATGGATTTCATTTCTATCGATAATTGTAGATATTTTGAAATCTTGGTGTCGTATGTTTGAATAATGTTGTTTGTGTTAGGAATAGCAATGTCAATGAGAATGGCTTCGTTCGTGTGTTTTTTGATAAGTATGATGTCTGGTCTGTTAGCTGTAATGTTTAAGTCTGTAAGTATTGTGCGATCCCAGTATAATTTGTATTTGTTATTTTCAAGGAATGGAGACGGAATGTAAGTGTAATAGGGTGTCGTATCTTCGATTAAGTTCATAAGTGTTGCTAATTCTTTGTGAATGATTTTCGCTGCGTTGTCGTGTCTAGCTTTGTAATCAGTTTGTGCTAGGATGCTGCAAGAAGAGATTATGTGCTGGATCGTTTCAGGTTTTGCTTTGCATAGGCGACAGCAGTCGTTTTTTATGTTCGGATCTTTGATGATGTATTTTCTATAATTCTTGGTATTGATTACTTGGTCTTGAATAGCAAACACAAATCCTTCTTAAAATTTATATTATTATTTATTGTATTATTATATTATATGTTTATTTTATTCAAATATGTATGAACTTTTTATTTATAATTTGCAGTTTGTGTTCATTTATAATTTTTTATATTATACTCCTACTTTATAATAAAAATATTAATTAATTGTTCAAATTTAATAATTTCACAAAATCGCCGAAAACGATATTCATTTGTTCCCGTTCGCGATATTTCGGCACCCATCGTTACGTTTCGCTTTCGCAGCTGATTTAATTTCCAACGTATTTTAACTTAATTTAAATTAACGTATTTAACGTATAAACGTTATTATTCTGTATTAATCTGTTCTTGTTTCGGTTCCAGCATCGCAAGTCGCTAGTTTCACTTATAAAACCAGTTTTGTGGACTTATATTTTAAAGGAACAGATTTATCCCGAATAACTGTTATTTTGAATCTTCGGTAACAACTTGTTCCTGTTCCACGTTGGTAACAGCAGAGAACATAGAGAAGCGTCATAGTTTAAATCAAATAACGGTTGAGGACTTCTCAATTTATGTTGGTAGCAGTGTTTGTTTCTAACTAGGAATAAAAGTAACTATTTAGAAGAAATGTCATAATATTTTTAACGACGCGTTTTATTTTTGACAAATTGTCACTAGATTTACCAGAATATTACAAGCTGCTCACTGTTTCCTTCACTTCAATTACAATTATCACAGTAGATCAGTAACGAAACTTCAGCAATATTTGCGGAACGGGTGTGACCTTGGGAGCCCGTTCCCGGGAAACACGAAGATTCAAATATTTCGTAGCATTCGTATGTGATTCACATAATACTAGTAATTGTACACAAAAATAGAAATGGGTGGCATGTACTAGTGACATTGGCCATTTTTTTCTTTCTTATAAATTATTAATATATTCAAGCAAAACATTTCTATTCAATTTTGACGTTTTAAACTGCGTTTATTAAATCCTTAACAAGTCTGACAAATAAGTTGTTATCCACAAGTGAATTGCAAAATTTTTATTTCACTCTATATTTTTAAATCACTCACAAAAAAATAAAAAACAACTTCAGGAACATAAACATTTTGCTTATTATTTTTAATAGTTTTCACAGAATACAATTTGTTTACAATTTTCACTAAAAGGTTGCTGCAACTAAATCAGTATTGTTTGACATATTTGTTTGGCTCTGTGAGACGTCAATTTGGGAATTGTATAAATCCCACACCAATACAATTCCAAAGTGTGTTTCGGAAACTATTTACTACAGATTATTTCGATACGAGTGCAAGAACCAACTGTGAAACACTATTTTATTTGAAATGAAAAATTTGCCAAGGTGTTCTTTTAAACAAACTTCCACAACACATCTTCCCTGTATTCCAGCCTCTTCAACAATCATTACCTAAGTGATGTGAGTTACCGGAAACCAGGCACGTAACCAAGGGGGGGCCTGGGGAGGCACAGGCCACCCCAACAAAACCCTGTGCCACCCCTGGTGCCCCCTTAAATTAATTTTAAATTTTAATAGTAAAGCAAATTCGAAATTTCAGATCAACAGTAAATTTTAGCTATGAGTAATTTTATGTTCCTATCTTGTAATATAATTCTCTGAGTAAAGCGATACTGCTGTGAACAGTTTTGTCGATAACTTTTTTAAGCAATTAGCCGATACAATTGATATGCCTTTTACACACTATGCAGACTGGCACACAGAGTTTAAATGAATTCTAATGGTGTTAGTCAATTTCAACTATTTGCACCCCATTAAGTTTATATACTGGTTGTGATCCAAGTAAAATGTTGATTTATACTAATGAAGACTTTTTTTAAAGGCCCTCTTAATTAAAATTAGTGCCCGGGCTGGGCCCCTCCAAAATAAAAGGCTGGTTACGTGCCTGCCGGAAACTCACCTTTAAAGAACACAACTGTTGATAGTATGTTTGTGGATACTCATTAATACGAAAATTCTTACACCACCACTTCTGCAAAGTTTGTTGTGAACTTTGCACATTCTTACGAAGTGGTACATCCTGTT